GAGATAATGATTAGGTGTAAATTGATCTGATGTGGTTCCCAAATAAAACCAAACTGCTCTAACAAAAGAACAATATACAGTGAAACAAATGATCAAATCAGAATTAGGTATTCCACATCTACATCAATCTATTACGATGGGTACAAAATCTTAAGGCCACAAGGCTGAAGGAAGAACTCTCCAAAAAAGCATCCATGCAGAAGTACCTCGCAAAGGATGGTATTGTATTGATTAGAGATTGATCGTCTTGGATGCTTGTGTGCCCATAGAAGAGACCTACAAGAAAAGTTTTATATGCATGATTTGGTCATAGCATTGGAAATTAGGTTGTACTACCTCCATACAGGTTTATTGGCCCCCTTTGTAATTTGTGCAAAATTTTAACTTTAAATTTAACTAATATTTTTTAATGCATGTCACATAAAATAATATCATTAAAAACTATGTTTAAATACGAATCCACCGATATAATTTTTGATAACATGCAACAATATTTTATTAGTTAAATTTGCAGTCAAAATTTGGCACAAATTATAAATGGGACTAATAAACCAGGACGGAGGTAGTATGTACCCAACAAACTTTAACAAAGTTTACTTCACATTTTTGCTCCTACCAAAATTTATCAAAAGTATGACAATTTGTGGACTGCACCAAAATAAACAAGGGATTGGTGAAAAGCACATGATACTATTTTTTTTTGCGGGTACATGATATTATTATTCATTTCTCTCTTTTCTTTTCCGCACATATCACAAATGAACCGATTTTGTAGGTGCACAAGGTACAACAGAAGTTATTTATATGGCCTTTTTTTTTCTTTCAGTTTTAGTATTCTTCCCATGTGGGGTGGTGTGGAGCACGGGAAATGGGAATGAATTTATGCATGGTTTTTATTGCAATCATAGGCAGCCAAGCGTGCGAGCTTGGTAAGCTACCAACAAAAAAAATGCAAAAATAATGATGGTGCATGCATGTTACGGATATGCAGATCTCTACCTTTTCCACCCAATTAACTCGTTTATTCAAGGGCAGTGGATGTATCGCCCGTACGTCTTGATCGTTCACACATGGTGACACCATATGAACATGTGTAAGGTATGCTAGTAAAATAACTCGGATGCATGCATTTGATAACCGGACCCCAGGTTGCAGCCTTGCAGGTGCATCTAGTGCATAGCAGATCGTCCATGCACTGACACTGTAATTATCAATCGACACTCATTGACCAAGAAGTTGCTTGGTTTGACTCATACATTGTTTTGTGTCAAGAAAGGACACGTTGTTTTGGGTGCAACAGTTTGGAGAAGGTCGAATGGGAGTTGTTCAACCGATCTGGTTGTTGTGTTATTAATAGATTATGTAAATGAGTCATGTAATCCTATTTTGCATCTGGTTCTCGTCTTTCTTTTATTCTATTGTGTTTTTTATTCGAACTTGTTGAACTTTTTGTTGAGTATTATGATTATTAGAAAAGATAGGATAGCGCAGGATCTTACCTTACCTTGTCTTATACTTTAAGTTGATCATTGTACTCATATATATATATATATATATATATATATATATATATATATATATATATATAGGCAGCGATGACTAGGTTAGGAGCGCGGCGGCGGTGCTTGAAGTAGGCGAGGAAGAACTCGACGGCGTGACGAAGACCGGCGTGGACAGTGGCGTTCCCACGCCTAGGAAGGTGGCACAGCGCATACCACACAGAAGTCGACGCACATGGACTGCGATGGACCACGAGCCGCGGCGCTATGTCCCGAAGGGGCGACGTAGCGGCAACACGCGGGTTGGGGCGGCGGCAGGAATACGTCAGGGCGTCGGCAGGGACCGAGTGCCACACTCGCTACTGCCCAATGAGGCAACACAGTGGCACTGCGAGGGTCAGAGAATCCATGGGCTTGGCCTGGAGTGGACGGCCTCGGCGTGGCAGTGGACTGCGGGCCGCGGCACTATGCCCTGAAGGGGCGATGCAGCAGCAACGCGTGTGTCGGTGCAACCGCCGGAACGGCCTTGGGGCGACGGCGTGGACCGTGCGCTGCAGCGCTACAGCCCGAAAAGGTGACGCAGTGGCGGCATGGGTTGGTGCAGCTGCAGGGAGAACCACGGGGTAACGGCACTGCAGCCCAACGGGACTTGTCTTCTCATCTGTTGTTAGGTTAACTCATATATTCACGAAATCTAAATACAATAAGATCAATGCATAAGTTTGATTGCACCACAAATAAATACATGGTATGTATTTAAGCATTATGTGCTTGACATAACTGTTATAAAAAAGTGGTTGGGTTTGATGAATTTTTTGTTAAAATTATTTGTATAGCTCTCCTCATATTTTCCATTTTTGCTGTTGCATAGTTTTTTTTGAGACTGTCACCGGGGGGAAAGGCCCCCCGCATGAATATATTTCGAATGGGTTTAAACAACAAGTTTTATGAGAGGCGAGATGAGAAAAAATCCCGCCGCAATCCGGCGTGGATTTTTTGATCCGCCTTTCTAATACGGTGAGATCAAAGAGTGAGGTCAGAAATTACATCCCGAATGACATCATTGGGGGTTTGGTTCACTCCCTAAAGGTCATCGCATTCCGTGCATCCCAGATTTTCTAGAGCAGCAACAGCAAGACAAACGGCCAAATCGACCTTGGCAGGGTTGGGTGACAAGGTGAGTTCCATAATTTCACCAGAGGCGAGGAACATGGATGTAGCCCAAGTGCTTCCCAAATGGAAACAGCAGTTGGGCAAGTGAAGAACAAGTGAGCACGATCTTCTTGCGCACCATTGCAACGGGGACATGATGACGAGTCGATGATGGTCTTGCGGTGTAGGTTGGCCCGAGTGTTAAGCCTATTGAGATAGAAGAGCCATCCAAACACACGAACCCTGCTAAGAACATGAGAGTCCCAAATGTGAGCAAGGTTGGATCTGCCAGCTGAGAAGCAAGGGCGTCATAGGCGCCCTTGGTGGAGAAGGCGGCCCCATTGAGCACTGATCATTTGTCCGGAGCTCCAGATAGGTGCACATCCTACAACAATAGTCTCAAGGACCCATCCATCACAATATTTTTGACTTAGGCACTTGGCTTTGTGTGGCGTGAAAACAGGCTAGGAAGGTGGTGGAGAGAGGCTCCGAAAGTAGCCAACGATCTAACCAAAAGAATGTGGATGAGCCATCCCCAATCCTAACTCGAGAGATCTCTCGTAGTGTATGTAGATGTTTGAAAATGGCCTTGCCGAGGAAGGAGGCATTTCTACCTAGTCCTATATGTAGTGGGGAGTGGTTTATAATCCAATCTTAAGGCAAAGGAGGGGAGTGTAGGAATTTGATTTCTGTTTGGAATTGTCACTGTGGGTCGTGTGGTGGCTTCCCCTCTTGAATTTCCCTTGGACAAGATAGAACCAAAACATCAACAACTTAAAAAATATCATTAAAAAATAGTTACCTGCTCAGACACATAAAATCCAATCAGTCAAAATGGTACTCCAACCATCCAAATTAACTGAAGCTTCAGTTTTGTCTTAAATCAAACTTCTTCTAAATTTGATGAAATATGAATATCTACCACATCAAATGATATAGTGTGCCCTTTTGTGTTGTAAATATTGATATATAGAAGTTTGACCTAGGGTAAAGCTAGAATTTCATTTAAATTGGAATGGACAATGCATATAGTTTCATAAATATATGTGTATTAATAACAAGCAGGGGGTTCGTGCGCGAGTATACAAAATTGAAGTATACATGTGCAACATATTGTGTTAGTATTATCTAGTTCGCCATGCAAAGCTTCAATGCGTAAACCTCAATTCATTTTTGTTTCAATAAATGTATCATTCCATCTATATATGTTTAATAAAATATGAACGTCCAGATGTCTTGGAAATAGCAGCACGCCTCTTTCCTCGTCCAAGGAAAGAACCAAGGCTTTCC